AAACAGCTGATTTCTAGACCCAAAAGAAGGACCTAGAGAATACCTGTAACTGTGGATAAAGAGAGGTCTACACCAAATAATAACATTCAATTTCAGAGTATTTGGGACAAAGAAAATATATTAGAAGTTCTGTTATTCCCTTTGCTGTACAGAAGTGTTTGGGTTTAATGCAACACTTCTCTATGTTCTTGACTTTATTACTTAAGGTGTTGGTATTATATTCAGAAAAGACATGAAAGCAGAAGAAGAACTATTAGGGAATAAAAAAATATACCAGTAAAAGAATAGAATAGAAGTATGTGTGGCTAGTAAGTAGGAGGGATAAATATGATCAGAAAACCCTAGTTATATGCATAATATAGTCATAATGAAGTCCAAATATTTTGTAAAATTAAAAATGCACTAATAAATGCATATTAAAGCTCCTAGAAAAAGTTAAAACATAAGAAGTCATGAATATAGACTTCTCAGTAGAAAACCTTAAAAGTAATATGTATGTACAGTATATGTGTATATATACATATATATATTCAATGGAGTGATGTTTTCAACATCCTACAGGAAAACTATTTCTGTCTTTGACTTTAATAGCCATTTCTCTTGGTCATTGATCTATTGCTGTGAAAAAGACAACATGACTAAGGCAATTCTTATAAAAGAAAGCAACTGAATGGGTTTACTTACAGTTTCAGAAGTTGAGTGCATTGTCATCATGCTGAGAGTGCCAGATTCATGGACAGCAGGAAGGAAGAAAGACTCTGTGCTTGGAATGAGCTTTTTTGAAATTGAAAAGTCCACCTGCAGTGACACACTCCCCCCCCCAAAAAAATGCCACACCTCCTAATCCTTTCAAATAGTGCCACTCCTTGGTGACCAAGAATTTAAATTATGAATGCTCATGAGGCCATTCTCATGCAAACCACCACACCAATCAAAATTTAGTTATGAGTGAAAACCCCTTAATACATATGAAATATTAAATTATGCCCTCTCAAATTTGAATGTTAAAGTTATAAATTCCAATCTACCAAAACTTGACCTTTTTTGGAAATAATATTGTTGTGCATGTTATTACTTAAGATGACAGTAGGTAGAGGCAGATTGGGCCCTTAATTCAACATGGTTTATATTTTATATGAAGAAAACATTTGAACACAGACACATGTACACAGTGACAATGATGTTTGGGCAAGACAGCACAGAGAATATTAACAATTGTGAGCAAACCACAAGAGCCTAGTAAAGAGCTATGGAATGTGTTCTCCCTTATACCGTCAGAAATTACAAAGGCTGTTGTATGTCTGGTATTTGTAGTCTCAAGAAATATGAGACAATACATTTATGTTGTGTACTTCATTCTTAATGGGCATATTTTACCCTGGCAGTGTTACTTCTAGCAAACCAATATATGATAGCTCAAAAATATTTATCTATTATTTACCATCTTCATGTAACAATTTGTGGAACTCACTAACATGAGGTAATAAATTATTAAAGATAAAGACAGAATACAAAAAGGAAAATGTAATGTATTCAAAGGTCAAGGGAATCTGCAGATATATTTGCCAATTACCTGATTACCTGAAATAAATCAACTCACTAAGAAAAAAAGGTTTATTTGAGATTTCAATTTAGGATGTCTCAGTGCGTGGTCGGTTGGCCCTGCTACTTTTGAGCCTGTAGAGAGGTGGTACAGGAAGCAGGAGTATGTGGCAGAAAAAAATATCTTACTTCATGACACTTAAGAAGCAGAGGAGGAACTGAGTTCCCACAATTCTATTTAAAGGCATGCCACAAATAACCTCTGATCTCCTATAAAGCCACATATTTTAAGTTTCCACTACCTTTTACTAGTACCAAGCTGAGAATCAACCTTTAAAAATGGGCCCTTGAGGGACACACCAAACCCAGCTGTATGGCACAAGTGTAATAATGAAAGGTTTCATATGTTCAACAAGCACCAGGACAAAGTAATCTAGACTGATACTATACCAGTCAGAAGAAACATCAAAAAATGTTATTGCTGGCCTCATGTCATGTTGGCATTTAAAAAAGTCACTCAAGAATTTTTGTAATTCTGTAAGAATATCAATGTTTTGTGAGTGCCTCTATTTTCTACTTTTTCTTTCCTTCACCCATTTCTAAAATAGTCAATGGACTTAAAACACAAATAATCAGTGGCTTCTTTGTGGAGTAGTAAGTGAGACAGGTAGTGATGCCTTATTAAAGTTAGGTATGGCATGGCATGAAGATGATTCTTTTCTTAAAATATGCTTAGTAATGATATCTTTGGATATTTATAGGCAATAACCAATGAGTCATAGGTTCTTCATACCATAAGAATACCAAAAACGTTGAGCTAGGGATAGCTAAGCTGAGAAGTAAACCAGGGATTGAACAGATATGGTACTTATTTGGATGTTAGAGTGTTCTGATACCTTCTGGGTCATTGGTTAAGTGATTATTGGGGGTCATCTGGGAACCAGTCTGGGTAATAACCTTCCTACTGTACCATGTCATCCCAGCTAGAGAAGGAAGAAGTGCAGATATTAGAGGAAGTTCAAGTTTCCACTGGTTCAAACCAATCGCTGTTCACATTACAATGGTTTTTACTTTTTAAAGTGTATTTTGCATATTCAATGAAGGAATCACCTAGTATGCTTAGCTATTTGATAGAAACATTAATTAAAATGGTATGTATAAGCAACATAAGTATATCATGTCAAGGAAAATATAATTAGTGCATACTACACATATATAACATAATTCTACAAGTATTAAAAGGCATAGGTAAGAAACTGTTTAAATTATGAATTAGTTTTTAAAGTTTAAAAAAAGCATACTTATGCTCTATAAGTAATACAAATAAGAATACTTATTTGTAGCATATGATTGCAATTATATCAAAATGTAGACAAAGAAACCACATAGGAGAAAACTGTTTCAATTGTTAACAGTAGCACTTTAATGATGTTTATGAGATTATACATGATGTTTATTTTCTTATTTAGCCTATTCTACATGCTTGCAGATTATCTATAATGAGCAGGTGTATATTTTATAGCCAAGGAAAAATTACTGAAAAAAAAAAAAAGAACAAAACAGAGATCATGGGAGCTGCATGACCTCCCTTTCCTATATAATCAAGAAAGCCTGGACAGACAATTATTAGGATTAGGTTCCAGGAAATCTCCCTTAGATGCAAATCCCAGACCCAGATGCAAGTTTTTTCTCCAAGAGAAATACACTTGTTCAAAGAGTAGGTGTTTTTTAAGAGCCAAGGGCGGGAGGAAAGAATTGTTTTTCTTTAGTGGAGCAATACTGCCACCAAAAGAAAAATTACTGAAGAAACAGCCATGACCACAGAAGAAAAAAAAAGTTAGACATAAAGGGAGAAGAGTAGAAAGGAGAGCAAGATAAAGGAAAATAGAGGAAAGATCATTTTGTAGGCTCATTGATTTCGTGTGTGTGTGTGTGTGTGTGTACATATATTTGGCATTAGTTTTGTTTTATTTTTAAAGCAAAGTTTAGAATTTTTTTTTAATTAGGACAAGTCAATAGCACTTACAGACAAAAAGTTTAATTTAATTTAATTTTGTTGTTGTTATTGTTTATTTGTTTGTGAGACAAGATTTTCCTTTGTAGCCATGGCTTTCTTGGAACTCACTATGTAGACCAGGTTGGCCACAGACTAACAAAGATCTGCCTACTTCTGCCTCCTGACTTCTGGGATTAAAGGCATGTACCACCACTGCCTGGCATAAATTTTAAATATCTTATAAATGTACAGAATAGTCATACTTATTACAAATAAATTATAATTATCTCTTGTGTATACAATAACAAAGTACTTATTCGGCCAGAGTAAACAGATATATATCCATGTTTTTTATTAAAATTTTAATTTTTTATATTCATTACAGTTTATTCACTTTGTATCCCAGCTGTAGCGGCCTTCCTCATTCCCTCCCAGTCCCATGCTCTCTCTCTCATTTCCTCCTTGGCCTGATAAATTGACATTAATTGTTAAATAAAGAAGAAATGGATGTAGGGGAGAGAGATAGAGCTATGTGTAGATACAGGATATGAAAAGTGACCTACACCTGATTGTTGGGTTCTATGCAGAGTTTCAGCACCCATCCCTGCCCATCACCTAGAAGCCTTTCTTTCTACTGAGAGTTCCTCCATGATGGATCTCCTCTTCTCCCTTTTAAATGATCAAATAAACAATGTCATCCTAGTCTGTGGGTACTGCTTCCCAGGAAGAATGTCAGGTGCTGATGATACTTCTGTGAATTCCTTTTGGTTTCTGGCTGTGAATGCTAGTCCTGGTGCCATGAAGCTATTCTCAATGTTCAACATTGCTGCTTGGAGAATGAAAATTCCCACGTAGACTTTGGTTGCCACTAGGTTTTCAGCTTGCTGAATGCTGTGTGCACCTGACTCAAAGAACCTTTTCTACAGTTATGCAGTGTTTTGCTGGTCAGGTTTCAGCATATGATCTGGCAACACTGGCCTGAGTTTCTCTGAGAGTTTGGTTCCTTAGAAGGCCTTGAGTTGTAAAGTATCCCACTCCTCAGAAATCTTGATGAAATGGCATCTTATTTTTTGCTGTTAGTTGCCTAGTGCTGAGCACCCAGTACCAAGGGAAAGGGTTTTTCTCAACATTCCTGCCAGCTGATTCTGTTGCTGAATTATATTTGCCCACTTTCCAGTTGTTCAGAGTCTACTGTTCTTTTGATAGTTTTTCTGCAGGTTTTCCCAGGATTATTCTCTAGGATCTCTGACATACCATATTGGAGCATCATGAAAAAAAACAAAAACAGCTCTTGTGGTCTATATTTACTTTTTTAACAACTGTTTAAAATAAATGTGGATTTATTCGTGTATAATAAATAAGGTAAATCAATTTATTTCAAAGTATGCAATGATCAGTTAGTCCAAAGCTTCTTAAATTATTTGAAATATTTACTTAAATTATGTAAAATAAATTATATAAACTTATACACATTTTATAACTTTGTTTCCATATTCTGTCAGAACAGCTCTGTGTTTATACCAAACATTTCATTTGTGCATTAACACTTTCATATTTAGTAGGTTTGTCACTCATCATTCCTGTTTACATTTCAGAAGCAAATCATTCATTTTAAATGTTTATTATTGCAGTTGAGATTTAGACAAAATTATATAAAGATAGAATCCATATCATGTCACACCACTTCTCAAAAGCAGTCAAGACTTTCCTCACAGTGATGTCCCCTGTGCCTTTTAATTAGGAAAACTCTTCCTATTCACACAGCTGTACTGAACTTCCCTTCTTAAAAAAAAAAAAAAACTGGTATGAAGAATGAAATCTTTTCATTCTGTATTGGACCCCGTTGGTGCTTTTCTTGGGCCACCTAATTGTTTACTCCTGAAACCAACTGGCATCTGTGTCTTACAGACGTAAAAGTCCATCTATTTTATTGTTGTTTTGCTTTTGAGATAGGGACCCTCTATGTAGCCCTGGCTGTCCTGAAATGCTCTCAGTATGCCAGACTGGCCTCAGACTCACAGAGATTCTCTTGTTTCTGCCTCCCAAGTACTGGGATTAAACACATGCACTACCATGCCTGACATTCTAATTTTTTTTATTCCAACATATTTTTTCTATTTAAAACATGGATATATAAAAAACTAAAGAAGTTAAAAAGCAACACATCATGTAATCCAATTTAAAAATGGGGTACAGGGCTAAACAGAGAATTCTCTGTGGAGGAATATAAAATGGCAGAGAAACACTTAAAGAAATGCTCAACATCCTTAGTCAGCAGGGAAATGCAAGTCAAAATGACCCTGAGATTTCACCTTACACCCATTAGAATGGCTAAAAACTCAAGTGACAACACATGTTGGAGAGGATGTGGAGAAGGGGAACGATCCTCCATTGTTTGTGGGAAGGTAAACGTGTACAACCACTTTGGAAATTAATCTGGCACTTTCTCAGAAAAGTAGGAATAGAGCTATATCAAGACCCAGCTATACCACTTCTAGGCTTATATCCAAAAGATGCTCAAGTACACAACAAGGACATTCATGTTCAACCATATTCATAGCATCATTATTTATAATAACCAGATCCTGGAAACAACCCAGATGTCCTTCAGTGGAGGAATGGATACAGAAATTAATTGTACATTTACACAATGGAATGCCACTTAGCAATTAAAAACAAGGAAATCATGAAATTTGCAGGCAAATGGTGTGATCTAGAAAAGATCATCCTGAGTGAGGTATCCCAGAAGCAGAAAGACACCCTGGATTATAGTATGGTCTGGGTAGAATGAAACACACCCTTAGTACACACCTTTAATTTCAAACAATGCTATCTAATTGGGAGGCAGAAAATGTGACAAATGGAGAAAGATTTGACAGAATGAGTCAGATATAGGATACGCTCAACTCTCACAAAAGAGAGGCTACTTAGAAGCAGGCAGCATATGCGTCCATCCCCTGGTGGATGGAGTCTTTCAGAAGATATCTATGGTAGGGTCCCTCTCTTCAACTGCTTCTGGTGTCTATTCTATTTGTCCTTCTGAGCAAGAATTAATTATCCTCCCTAGGGTCCTCCTTGTTATTTAGTTTATTTAGGTCTGTGGATTTTAGTATGGTTATCCTGTATTACATGGCTAATATCATATTATAAGTGAGTATATACCATTAGTGTCTTTCTGCTTCTGGGTTACCTCACTAAGGATGATCTTTTCTAGTTGGGCAGAGTGCAGGGAGTATTATGGAAAAGTAGGGTGATAGAAGGGCCAGGAGGGGCCAGGAGCCCCACTAGGAGACCAACAAAGCCAACAAATCTGGGCACAGGGGGCCCTGCAGAAACTGATGTACCAACCAAGGACCATACATGGACAGGACTTAGACCCACTGCTTAGATGTAGCCCAGAAGCATCTCAGTCTCCATGTGGATTCCCTAGTAAGGGGAGCAGGGGTTATCTCTGACATGGATTAGGTTGCCCGCTCTTTGATCATTTCCCCTGGTGGGGCAGCCTTACCAGGCCACAGAGGAAGAGGATAAAGGCAGTTCTGATGAAACTTGATAGGCTAGGATTAGGGTTAGAGAAGGAGGGTTCACCCTTTCTGTGGTGCAGAGGAGGTGGATAGAGAGCAAAAGTGAGAGAGGGTGGGCCAAGGAGGAGACAAGGGAGGATATTATGATTGGGATATAAAGTGAATAAATAATTAAAAAAAAGAAAAGAAAAGAAAAAAAAGAGCAGGCAGAGTCTGAGAGATAGTACAGTACAGAGGAAGAAGAATACAGTACAGGAGTACAGTAGAATTCATGGAGACAGAACAGTAGAGTTTAGAGTTTAGGAGTATAGGACAGTTCAGTTTAGTTCAGTTCATGCAGTTTCATTCAGGTCGTGTAGTCAGTGCAGTTCAGTTTGTGCAGTACAGAGGCAGTTTTTCCAAGCAGTGCAATTCAATCAGAAGCTGAGAAAAGCCAATTTGAATCAGTTTTCTTGGAGAGGAGTTGAGCCAGAACAGCTGAGTTGAGCCAGCCAGCCAGAGTTCAGACAGAACCAGAAAGGGTGAGCTTATTAAACATTCTAGGCCAAGTTAGCAGACAGAGGCTAGAAGCTGAAGCCTTTATGGTCTAGGTTTACAGAACAATAAATTGTACAGAGGTTAGAAGCTTCCAGGCCTTGGCCTAGGGATGGCTAGAAAAGACAAAGAAATGCTCCAGCTTAACCCAAGCCGTGTATTCATACAGCTTGTATATGGCTCTCATCTCATCCCCTTACTCTGAAGAAATAAAAACAACATTTACAATGCATTCCACAAAAATGGGACAAATGCCAGTGAATTAAATGAAATTAAAAAGAATCCAAAAGAATAATAGATATGTTTAAAAATAAGAGTACATAGTTTCTAGATGAATTTCAAAAGAACACAAACATCTGAATGAAATAAAAAATAAAATATATGAAAATGGAATTCAATAAAGAAACAAAAAACTGAGAATGGATCATGTGGGAGACACAACACAAGAGCTTTAAGAAAAGATAAGTGAATTGGAACATTCAGAGGAGCAGGGCCCCAAAGTGAATGGGCAGAAAGGGTCTTTGGTTCAGACAAGTTGATTCTTCCTGCCTCGGGTCACCCAGTGGAGTGCTGTGGGCTGCTGAGAGCCAGACCCTGTCCTGGGAGAGCTGAGGTAGGCTGAGTGGATACCAGAGTCCGTCTGCTTCCGTCTCCTGTGGTCTTCTCAGCACAGTCTAGTCACAGAAGACCACCCCAGGTGTTACTGGATTCTTCCTCCTGTGATGAGATAGATAAATAAAAACATTAATGAAACATATAATATCTTTGGGATACCAGGAAAAGATACAATCTATAAATTGTGAGTATAAAAGAAGTCCATGACAACAGCACAGGAATTTTTTTTAGCCATATTGTAATGGAAATTTTTGCAAATCTATGAAAAGAAGTACCCATCCAAGTACAGGGGGCATATAAACACAAAATGACAAGACAAAGAAAAGAAGAGGAAACTCTCCACATCTACTGCACTTAAATCACTAAATATACAAAACAAAGAGAGATATTTAAAGCTTCAGGAGAGAAGCACTACATTATATATAAAGAAGGCCTATCACTTGCCTGCAAATTTCATGATTTCCTTGTTTTTAATTGCTGAGTAGTATTCCATTGGGGAAATGTACAATTAATTTCTGTATCCATTCCTCCATTGAGGGACATCTGGGTTGTTTCCAGGTTCTGGTTATTATGAATAAAGCTGCTACGAACATAGTTGAGCAAATGTCCTTGTTGTGTACTTGAGCATCTTTTGGATATATGCCTAGGAATGCTATAGCTTTTGGATATATGCCTAGGAATGCTATAGTGCTTTTTGAGGAAGCACTATTCCTAATTGTCTGAGAAAGTGCCAGATTGATTTCCAAAGTGGTTGTACAAGTTTACCTTCCCACAAGCAATGGAGGAGGGTTCCCCTTTCTCCACAACCTTTCCAGCATGTGTTGTCACTTGAGTTTTTGATCTTAGCCATTCTGATGGGTATAAGGTGAAATCTCAAGGTCATTTTGATTTGCATCTTTCTGATGACTAAGACTGTTAAGCATTTCTGTAAGTGTTTCTCTGCCATTCTATATTCCCCTATAGAGAATTCTCTGTTTAGCTTCATACCCCATTTTTAATTGGATTGCTTGCTTTTTTTGCTTTTTAACTTCTTTATTTCTTTATATATTCTGGATATAAGCCCTCTGTCAGATACAGGGTTGGTGAAGATCCTTTCCCAGTCTGTAGGCTGTTATTTTGTTCTGACCACGGTGTCTTTTGCTTTACAGAAGTTTTTTGGTTTCATGTGGTCCCATTTATTGATTGTTGCTCTTAGAGTCTGTGATGTTATTGTTCAGAAAGTTGTCTCCTGTGCCAATGAGTTCTAGGCTCTTCCCCACTTTTTCTTCTAACAGGTTTAGTGTGTCTGGTTTTATGTTGAGGTCTTTGATCCTAGGATCTAGAAAATATCATCCTGAGTGAGGTATTCCAGAAGCAGAAAGACACACACAGTATATACTCACTTATCAGTGGATACTAGACCTATAAGAGGATAAACATACTAAAATCTGTACACCTAAAGAAGATAAATAAGAAGGAGCACCTGGGATAAGATGATCGATCCTCACTTAGAAAGACAAATGGGATGGACATTGGAAGTAGGAGAAAATAAGTAACAGGACAGAGGGCCCCTGAAAGACTTTACCTAACATTGTATCAAAGCTGATGTTGATACTCATAACCAAACCTTGGGCAGAATGCAGGGAATCATATGAAAGAAGGGGAGTTAGTATGACCTGGAGAGGACAGGAGCTCCACACGGTCCAAATATATCTGGGAACAAGGGTCTTTTCTGAGACTGTTTTCCCAATCAAGGACCATTAATGGATATAACTTAGAACCCCTGCCTGGGTGTAGCCCATGGCTGCTCAGTATCCGAGTGTGTTCCCTAGTAAGGGGAACAGGGACTATTTCCAACATGAACTCAATGGCTGCCTTTTTGACCTCCCCCTACTCTCGGAGGGAACAACAGCCTTGCTACGCCACAGAGGAGGACATATGTAGCCAGTCCTGAAGAGACCTGATAAACTAGGGTCATATGGAAGGGGAGCAGGACCTCCTCCATCAGTGGACTTAGAGAGGGGCAGGGAGGAGATGAGGGAAGGATCGTGGGATTAGGAGGGAATGAGGGAAGGAGTTACAGCTGGGATACAAAGTAAATAAACTGTAACTAATATAAAAAATAAAAATTTAATTAAAAAAAGAAAGGCCATCACAGCAAAAGTTGAATCCTCAACAAAATTTTAAATGCCAGAAGGACTTGGAATCATATATTTCAATTCCTAAAATACTATGGTTGCCAACCAAAGGTATTATACCACAGCAAAACCTTGTCATGGTTAAGGAAAAAATCCATAATAAAAGTAAGCTAAAACAATTTATTACTACAAAGGTAGCTCTAGCGATGATGCTGGAAGAAATTCTTTGGTCTGCAGAGAATAAATACAACCAAGAGGCTATATGGAGAAATGATGCTGGAACAGTAATTAAGAAAATCAGGAATAATGAAACACCAAACACTATAAAACCAACAAAATGACAAGGAGCAACACATACCTTTCAGTAATAACCCTGAACATTCATAGTCTTGATTACCAAATCAAAAGACAGACTAGCATTTTGGATTAATATATATGTATGTGTATGTATGTATGTATGTATGTATGTACATCCTCTATTTGCCACCTCAGAGAAACACATTTCACTTTGAAGTGAAGGGATGGGAAAATGAATTCTAAGCAAATGGAACTCAGAAACAAGCAGGTACTGATAATCTAATATCTGAAAAAGCAGATTTTAAAACAAAACTAGTAAAAAGAGATATAAAATATCACTTAATATTGATTAAAGGAAAAACCCATCAAGAGGACATTACAATTTTTTTGTTGTTGTTTGTTTTTTGAGACAGGGCTTCTCTGTGTAGCCTTGGTTGTCCTGAACTTGCTTTGTAGAGCAGGCTGGCATGAACTCACAAAGATCTGACTCCCCGAGTGCTAGAATTACAAATGTGTTCCACCATGCCCGGCTGACATTGCAACTCTAAACATACATGCACTAAATATGGGTATACCAAATTTCATAAATCAAAATTCTATTAGAGATAAAGTCACAAACTGATCCCAACACAGTAATACCGAGTGATTTCAATATTCCACTCTCATCAATAGATAGGTCATCCTGACAAAAATTAAACAGAAACATCAGAGTTAAATAATATAATGGATCAAATGAATTTGAGAGACATGTACTGATCATCCCATCCAGACCCCATCAGAATATACATTCTTCTCGGCATCCCATGGAACTTTCTCTCAAGTAGATCACACATAAAGATGTAACACACATTTTAGCAAATACAGGAAAATTGAAATAACTTCTTGCATTTTATTTGAACATAATGGAATGAAGTCAGAAATCAATAGCAAGAAAAAAGTACACAAACTCAGGGAGTTTAAACAACACCTTATTGAATGATGAATGGATCATTGAAAAAAATCAAGAAATTTAAAAATTCCTGGAATATAAAGAAAAATATTTTAAATTGTAGCAAATCATACGTGATATGTGATACAATAAAAACTGTCGTAAGAGGAGAGTTAATATTTATATGAGCCTATATTTCTTAAAAATGGTGTGCCTTCAGGCTCTAAGATGAACAATTAATAAATGAGACCTCATGAAACTGAAAAGCTTCTGTAAAGCAAAAGACACTGCCATCAGAACAAAATGACAGCCTACAGACTGGAAAAAGATCTTCACTAGTCCTACATCTGACAGAGTGCTAATATCCAGAATATATAGAAAACTCAAGAAGTTAAACACCATAAACCAAGTAATCCAATAAAAAATTGTGTATAAAGCTAAACAGAAAATTCTCAATAGAGGAATATCAAATGGCAGAGATACACTTAAGGAAATGCTCAACCTCCTTAATCATCAAGGAGCTGCAACTCAAAATGACCCTGAGATTTCACCTCACACCCATCAGAACGTCTAATATACAAAGTGATGGAGAGGTTATGGAGAACTGGGAACCCTCCTCTATTGCTGGTGGGAATGTAACCTTGTACAACCACTTTGGAAATCCATATGAAAATTAATATGGCACTTTCTCAGAAAATTAGAAATTCTGCTACCTCAAGATCCAGCTATACCATTCCTAGGCATACACATAAAAAATGACCCACCATTCAGTAAGGACATTTGCTCAACTATGTTTATAGCAGCTTTATTAATAATAGCCAAAATCTGGATACGACCTAGATGTCCCTCAACGGTGGAATGGATACAGAAAGTGTGGTACATTTATACAATGGAATACTACTCAGCAATTAAAAAGAAAGAAATCATGAAATTTGCAGGCAGATGGTGGGAACTAGAAAAGATTATCCTGAGTGAGGTAACCCAGAAGCAGAAAGACACATATGGTATATACTCACTTATAAGTGGATATTAGAAATATAATATATGGTAAACATACTAAAACCTATAGTCCCAAAGAAGCTAAACAACAAGGACCCTAGAGGAGAGGCTGAAACCTCACCCAGAAGGGCAAACATGATAGATACAGGAAGTAAGAGACAGGACCTCTGAAATACTCTATCCACCAGGGTATCATAGGAGATACTGAGACTTGTAGCCAAACTTTGGGCAGAGTGCAGGAAACCTTATGGAAGAAGAAGGAGAGAGAAAGACCTGGAGAGTACAGGAACTTCACAAGGAGACCAACAGAGCCAAAAAACCTGGGCCAAGGGGTCCTGCAGAGACTGATACTCCAACCGAGCAACTTGCATGGAGAAGACCTAGACCCCCTGTTCAGAGAAAGCCCATAGGCTTCTCAGTTTTCAAGTGGGTTCCCTAGTAAGGGAATCAGGGCTGTCTCTGTCATGACCTCAGTGGTCAGCTCTTTGATCATCTCCCCCTAGGGGTGCAGGCTTGCCAGCCACAGAGGAAGACTATGCAACCAATCCTGATGAGATCTGATAAGCTAGGATTAGACAGAAGAAGAGGAAGTCCTCCCCTATCAGGGGACTAAGGAAAGGGCATAGGGGGAGAAGAGGAAGGGTGGTTAGAACTGGGAGGAGACAAGAGAGGGGGCTGCATCAGGGATAAAAAGTGAATAAATTATAATCAATCAATAAACAAGTAAATAAATAAAAAGTTAAGATCCCATAAATCTGCAA